AAAATGACGAAACCCCCCCACGAACGGACTCCCTCCCTCCCTCCCTCCCTACCCTCACCGTAACCTTATATATAAAAAAAATTTAGGAGACCTCGTCTCTCTCCTTCGACACCTAATAAACAACAATAACTAATTACGTAGTCACACAAAGAGGTTTGTGAATTTGAGTGTTGAAATTTACTTTCGCAAATCAAATAAATTATTTTCTCGTCGTAAGTTACACTTTTCACTGTCATCTATATCTAATCAACGTTAAACCACGATATATATGCCATATAATTTTTTAGTAATAAATTATTTTTATTTATTTATTATTAATAAAAAAATTTGTGGAACTTAAAGTCCCCCCCGCGCCCCAGAGGCAACCGCACCGCGTCGCGGGGAGGTTCTGTTACCATCCCCTTTGTGACCCATAACATATCGGTAGTTACGGGAACTTGGAAACATGTCATATACATCCCGGGATCTTTTTGAATGTAATTGATAATTGATAAAAGGATTATGGAATTAAAACAGAAAATACAGGTTTCCTACTTAAAAGGTTTTCGTCCCGGCCGCAGGTCCCTCGAAAGAAACACCTTTACCTCGTGACCGTCTTATTTCGCCAAGGAATGGGTACAACAACTAGTAAGGGAGGCGACGTTGGTGAAATAATTCCACTACCTCGATTATCTGTCGTACTCTCTCCTTTTTCTCCATTCTTGTCCTTATATGTTCATTTTACTAGTATTATAACGACAACATAATAAGAAACTCTGACTTTCTTACAATTTTTTTCCGTGTTAAAAAATACTTTCCCTCGGGTTTAGAGGAGTGGTACTTCCCGAAATAGACTCAAAGTACTCTCATTTGCTAACATTAAACACAGTTACGTAAGGAGCAGGACTCGACCTTCCGTTTATGGAGTGTAATGGTTTACCCGAGGTACCAGATTAACAACAAACTATTTTTTCTTTCTCTCTTTCCAGTAAGTCTAAGTTGGTGCAACAAAGGTTTCGCCAAACAGGAGAAAGAGTGTTAAATCAAAATAAGCTTTTTTTTTAGTTTATATAGGCCGAAAAACTTTTTAGTGGTCCTTTTCATTACGACTATATAGAATAAATAGAGTAGCCTAAAGCGACAGACGACTGGACTGTCGTCGACGAGATACCAGACGGGCAACTTCGTCGGAACGAACCAAATCACCATATAGTCGTAGCCAGTACTACTAGCGTGATCTTCAACATCAGTGTGTCGGTAACAGACTAAATGTCCTCGTAGTTACCTTTTATATAAAATGTCTGCAATCCACCACACGAACCTAAAAATTCACGTAGCAGTCCCATAATGGTGGTAACGTAAAAAAAGAAGAACAAATGTAAACGGTCTAGGGAAGAGTAATAGAAAGGGTTTGTAGTCAATAATCCTTTACAAGGTCCGAAGACAGAGTGGTAGAACGATGAAGTGGTCTAACACGGATGCATCCCAAGAGTGTAATGCACCCCGTTTTTCATAAATCAGTCGATGGTTAACACGTTCAAGAAGGGTGAATTTTATACTCTCTCCGGACATAAAAGTAGGATGCCATATGAGTTGATAACTCTCCTGTCTTACTGTTTTTTTTTAGGTCTTTTAGTGGTAACAGACAAAAATTCTTAAATAAACGTTACTACCACCCTTTATCATAAACCAGCGTTATTGTTTTCAAGGAGAGTTATGAAACACACATATATGGGAAACAACCTTAACTGTCTCCAGTTTGAAAAAGACATGTCAGAAGTGTTACAAAAGTGTGACAACAGACCATAAAACCGGTAAAGGAGGTACGTCTAGATGGAAATCCGTCACTACAAAACCCCGACAGCTGACCCGTTTGTGTCTGAAAAGTCGAGGAGGTTTCTAGAAAGATACCCCAACTCTAGACCTCTGACCGATCCGGGTGAGGGAAGGTCCGGAATGTGACGACAGATGCTTCGGTGAGGAAGCAGCGAGGCCGCCACAACAAACTAGTAACATACGACCTTTCTGGGTCGTGCAAAGTAGAAGTTACGGGGGACGACTACCTTCCTCCAACAGTGAGTTTTAGAGTGCTATGTACCCGGGGTAAGAAGAAAGGAAATGGGTTCCTAGCCAGTACCAGGGAAACGTACATTTTTGTCGGGTTCGTACTACAAAGGGGGGGTACAAAGTGACATCCAATACCAAACAAAAGAACCACATAACGTTGAGTCGTAAGAAAAGAGGTTTGTGCAGATCGACATCCAAAAAATGGTTTTTCACTAGATAAACCAAAGATAGACTGGTATACTAGTAAAGAGGTTAGGAGAAGACCTACATAGATATTACGAAGAATACGTTTGAAGCCTGACCCGAGACCTTACAGACCAGAATAACGTTCACCTGTGCAGACGTGACGTCCATAAAACTCAGGGACCGCCGCATAACCACAATTGGACTACCATCCGGAAACAATGAAAACCAGGGCGAGAGACGTCCAGTAACTGATCCAGGGGCACACCAAACCTAAAAACAGTGGCAAGCACTAGAAAACTGGGGTGCCCCACTCTAGACGCCACCTCGGGGTCAGCTCCTCTAATAGTCACCAGAACATACAGAAGGTAAAAGATAATAACGAGGGTGTCAACTAAAGAATGGGTTCGACGAATGGTAACGTCAAGTTAGAATAAGGGCCGGACCACGTCCAGATGTTAAACAAAACCACAGGAACTGCGGAAACAGACAACCGGTACATCACCTCAAACCTCACACTACAAACTCCAACACCTGTCCACAAAAATATGACTATTGCTCAAGTTTGTTCCACGGTAATTATGTCAATTGTTCACCTCCCTGTCTCCTCCGAGATTTCTTCTCAATGTCCAGACACTCTCGGTCTTTAGAACAAACAAACATCCACTGGTTGAATGAAAAAAAGGTGGTATAAACGTTTATTAAGAACTTTTACACAAAAGACCTAAAAAAAAAGGAGTAAAACAGAAGTATCAACTACCATATGGATCCTACTTTAACGTCACGGAGAGAAGTAGAAAAATTCACCCTCTTGAACTTGCGTTAATCCACCGTACTGATTTATGAAAAACGGGGGTGAGCATGAACCCCCCTTCCCTCCTCGTGAATCGGTGGACCCATTTTGTTTGAACCTAAGTCCGATCTACCGTCGAGTGAAAGTGCTACCCGGAAGTACCTACTAAGTACACTGATACTCTTTAGGTAAAATGTATTCTATTGTTCATCAGACACCCAAAGGAAAAAAGAAACAATCTAAGTGAAGAAAGGAAATAAACCTGAGGTGGTAGATCGCCGGGTATGGACAAGAAACGGGACGGTTTTAGAGTAGGGTGAGCTTCATCTTCCCCCAGCTTCATTGTGGCCGCCCAGAGGGAATATTCAGTACTGCTAAGAAACCCGTCAGACGTCGAGCTGCCCTGTCGAACTACTATATTAGACAAGCACACACTCAGAAAAACATGTGAAGTTTCCCTAATCAAGGAAAACCTTTTTTTGTTTAACCAAAAAATGCCCCGGCGTATTACTCACTCAGATTTTGAGGGTGGATGAGTGAGACCCGCCCCTCAGAGTTGGACCGCCGACCCCTGATGGACTGCCTGTTGCTCTCCTGATGGTCAAACTGGCCGCAGGTGATGTGCATCTTATGCAGGGTGGGGTTCACCCCTTCAGGCAGCATGCGGGGACTGTTAGGGTACATGTGGAACCGACTCCTGTTGCCGATAATGGACTTGTCCACACTGCGCTTGTTGCTCATGCTCTGGTTGTAGGTCTGAGGGAAGTCAAAGTTAAACATGTAGCATTAGTGGTTTTGTGGATCTGTGTCATGTGCATTTGGTAGAACATCAAACTGTTGGTTCAAGACTCCACAGCACATTTTGTCCTGCTTTGGAAACACTCACCCTGTCCTCGCGTCCCTCAGCCAGGATGACCACAATTCTTCCCTGCCTCTTGCGTCCCGTACGTCCCATTCTCTGCACCAGACGGATGGGATTCTTCTGTGCATCGAAGCAGACAATGAGGTCCACCTCTCCGATATCCAGCCCCTCTTCCCCCACACAGGTCGACACCAGCGTGTTGAAGCCTCCTTGACGGAACCTGGACATTACCTGCAACACAAGTGACCAAAGATTTTAAGTATTTTATTCTTTCCATCCTAGGTTATCCTACTTCACTCATATGCCTATATACCCATCAGCATATTGAGTTAAAGTTTATGTGTGCTAGTTATTAAAATTGAGGTTACAAATGACTCTTTCATAACATATTGACGATCTGGTCTATTTTCTGTACTTGAAGTGTTTACGGAACATGGACCTTTCCATCAAAACACTATTCTTGGATCTATAGAGGGGAAATGGCACAGACTGTCTGCAGAGAGACTGTAGTGCTGGGCAACAAGCAGTGACGTCAAGCAGCAGTATTCATTGGAAAATATAGAGATATAGTGCTCGGAAAAAAATTAAGAGACCACTCCAAATTGTTCTTAAATCTCAATCACTACATGTATGGCAGCCATTACAGTGTCTGTTGAATTCAAACACAGAGAAATGTTGTCAGTATGTTATAGAATAACTTTTAAAAAATGTCCTTTTATTCAAAAACATAACTATAAATGGTAAAACTAGAGAAACTGATTACGCTGCAGTGGATCTTTTTTCCAGCCAAATGTTAACTTCAAGGTTTTTATACGTATTTCTTGAGACTTTTAACAACATATTATGTTTTATTCACTGTACCTCCAGTTGTTCCTTCTGGGTGAAGCCTTTGACTCCCTTCCCTGCCGAGGCTTGGCCCATAAATGTCATGACCCGTATCAGCGGAGCATGGTGGTTCAACATGTCGGCGATTTCCTGTACACTCTCACGGAACGAGGAAAAGATCATCACACGCGTGCCTACTTCCTGAGGCCCTGGACATTAATAAGACAGAGGAAAACAGGACGGTTAAAATGACAGTAGCCATGAAACCATTTTTTTTTATTAGATCTGTTTGATTCAGATGCTGAGATGCTTTGTTCTGTGATCTTCTCAAATGTACTATGCTAAGTATAAACATACATAGCCTCATCAAAATTAGGTTCCCTTAGCTCCAAAGTCTATGTTGAAGTTATTAGCTCTAATACAAGGGTCTCAAACTCAAGGCCCGGGGGCCTAATCCGGCCCGCGACTTCATTTTATGTGGCCCTGCAAGAGCTTGCAAAGAATATAATACGTTTATTATACGGTTACATGCCACTTTACAGAAGCAGGTTGCCCATAAACTACATGTCCCACAATGCATCTCGGTTTGTGACATGCAGACTGAAGAGACTTGCAATTATTTGGCCTGGACTTCTGCTTTTAGACGTAGTTAATTACTAAGTTATTATCCTATCCGATAATAATCCAATTCAGAGGCAATAATGTAATATAATACATTATTTTATATATATATTATATATTTATATACAGTAGTTACAACAGGCCTCTTTGAGTGCAACCTTTATGCGAATGTGGCCCGCGATGAAATTGAGATTGACACCCCTGCTCTAATAGGTTGAATTATGCTGTAACAAAGCTCTCCTGTTTGGACACTGTGGCACTATTCATTATCCCATTATGAAACATGATACAATTTTGCGCCAAGCACTGCATGTAATGTATGAGTTACAGCATAGAAATGATATAACAAGGAAATCACCTTTACTTTCTGCCAAACTCTCAGCCTGTTTGAAATGCTGCAGCACCACCTCATCCAGTTTCTTCAGTTTTGGGTGACTGTAAATGAACGGCTCACCTGGACCTGGAAATATTAATCAGAGAGGATCTTAGTCAAATAGATCCCTAGCTTTATCATTAAGGGATAGTTTGGATAGTTTCAAGTAGGGATATTTATGGAAAGTATCCCTGTCAATATAATACCTACAGTAGCTGGCGGTCAGTACACCCCCAGTTTGGAGAAAAATGCAGCTGGGACTGGAGCGATCAGCAAAAAGAGTTTTAGCCAAATTGAAAATATCAGTTTTAGTGAACGCTACATTTTATAATATGTTCACCACCTAACCTTGCCGTCAGAGAACCTTTCCAACAGTGAACTGAATATTTCTTCAAAAACACAAGACTCCGTAAGAAAGAAGAACATTAATTTACGATGGCAGAACACAGAAGTTGCTAGTAGCTCAATTGTTTTATCTTATTGGACTTTGACGAGTTTGGATTCACCAAAGTCACACAATAACCGAACAAACTAACCGATTGAGGCAGCAGTATACAAGCAACCCATGTGTTATGCGGAAAGAAATGGAGTCTGGTGGCTTACAAAAAAAACATAGATAATGGCTTCAATTCCCCGTCATAAAAGGCTGTCTGAATAAGAGATAAAGGGATGGAAACGGTCTAAATTCAGCACACACTTAACCTGATATTGATCCTTTTTAGATGGCTAAAACGTGTTTTTATGATGACGTTGTCCAGAGCAGTCAATAGGTTTGCTTTCAAGCCATAACAGCTATCTGTTTCCAAACTGGGGCAATGTCTACCTCCATCTAATGTAGGTAGAACACTAAATAAGGACTTAAATTCACCCAACTTCAAAAACTTCAAAGCATCCCCTTTGTATTTCCTATAAAGTTCCTAAATGTGTCTGATATGGTATAAATGAGTTCTCATATACCAGCAGATGGCTTCACAAACATTGCTTCCATCTCATGGTAAAGGTCAACGAAGGTGGGAGTCCTCTGCAGCTCATTTCTGGCCCTGGACATCTCTAAGCCAGACAAAGAATGAATTATACACACACACATTACACATTATGGAGTGTACATACACCAACAGGGCATTGATCAATCTGGGGTCAGAAATGTTAGTGTCTGTAAATAAAGGGAACAAAAGGCTCTTCAAGACCGTTTCATTTACAAATCACGATTCACAAGCAGAGGTAGGTTTCTACGTGATGTGCAGAGAAGTTACAGTGACACAATACTAGTTAGAAACATCAATTTAAAAGTAAGACAACACAATTTAAATTAATGAAAATACAGTTCAAAGCAAATTGAAAGACATGGATTTGTGTAATATAAAATACAAAAATAAACAATTATAAGAATAAAAACAAATGCACTAACCTCTGGTTCCGTCCATGATTCCCTGAATGTAAAAGAAGAGTGATCTGAGCCCCATCTGCATCAGCAGCTCGTAGCCATGGTACAGGCTGATGCAGAGGGCGAAGTCGCCCTCCAGCATTCCCTGCTGCGGACCCTGTAGAGAGCAGGAGAGCACACAAGTCGACAATCAGATTTAAAAAAGGTTTTATAAAAAATAAAAATAAAGATTAAACAAACAAAATATAAAAAAATATTGTAAACATTCTAAGATCATTATAAAACAGTTCTTAAATTAATATATTGTACTAGATATTAAATGCATCAGAAATCCAATAATTAAGATGAGTTTTATTCATGAAGTGTCTTAACCTCATTGTGTTATTGATTCTTTTCTACAGTCTTTATGAAGACTTACAAAATATAAAGGTTTTTAGAGAAGTAAGTTTTAATACAAATAATAACAAGTAATACCTGAAAATGTCAATAAATAAGATTGTTAGTTATATGACTTAAATGTTAAAAGAATGCAAGAAGAAATATAAATTATTTGCACTCTCCTTTACCACCAACGAGTTAATAGATAAAAGAAAAAAATTATTTATCTCCCCTACTGTAGTTATCAATGGTTTATATTGAATTATTTGTATAACTCTCTTACTGAAATGTTACAGTGTTGGGGCTCCCTACAGCTTAAAAGCAGAACTCAATTCTGAAAGGCTGTGTATCATGAGAAATTGTACTCTAAAGCACACTGGATTTGAGACTATAGCACCCAAACATTTGTAGAGGAAAGTCCGTGCCTTGATGTTTGGCGGTGGGTTCTTGCGGAACTGATCCCTGGCGAGGATGATCTGGTATTTGCTGAGAGACCGCAGATCCTTGTGTGGCATCACCCGCTTCTGGACCAGACGAGACATGAATTTGTCCAACACCTAGCAGGAAGAGCAACACACGGGTCATAGGTAATCAATAATAGGCCAATTCCAAGTTAAAGTGTGATGATTCAGACTGATTGGTAAGCACCTTGCTAACACCAAATTTGAAAATGCACTCAAACACACACATGCCTTCTGTGAAAGCTTTGAGACACACCACTGCCACCTCTATTGGTCAACAGACTTGCACAGACTGAATGGAGGACCTACTTCAACAAAAGACACATAATAACAATAAATGTGTTTGTATCTGTTCTCGCTCCTGCCTTCGTTTCCTAGTAAAGGGAGGAGAGATGGAACCATTTTGTCAGAAGGACAATTTTACCAATATCTATTCATCCTCACGGCCACAGATAAAGGGATGCTGGGTCATTACGATTTCAATTTAAGCTGAGTATGGAACTGTTGCTTTAGAAACGCAACATGACAAAAGGCCTTTCGGAAAGAAGAAGTGGCCTCCCCCTTAGAAATAATTTCAAAAATGAGTTGCTGCAACAGATGAGAAGCAATTTCGTCGTTCTGATTGGTAGTAATGGGGTTTATGTCATGACATGAACAGAAAGCTTATTTATAGTTTGATGTTCAAAGTAGGCCAAGGTAAGCATACAGTTACATTCATAGTTTTATAAGCTTACATCTAGTTACAGATGGAACAACAAGTATTACAATAAAAATGGATAGGAAGAGAATAAAGAACCTACTATAAAAACAATATTAATTCAGTTTTGCTTTTGAAATGGACACACTAAGCTCTCCACTTGTCCTACATCTGCTAAACCTCAGCCTGCTTCTCCGAGGTGGTGAAAAGTGAGAGTGCATTATAGGGCTTACATGAACACAAAAGCAAAGGGTTAAATAACAGCCTTTAATTCCCCTGACCTTTCAGAAAACATAAACAGATATATCACCATGACCCAAACATTCTTTCATAAGAGTCAAAAGGTTTGGCAGCCCATCTGGCCGTATTGTTCTTCATCCCATGTTATATGGTTCAAGTTTATAAAACATATTACCTAATGGACGGTTGCGGAAGATGATTTAATAAGAAACTGAGGAAACAACTAAAGCCAGGTCAACAAAAATGCAACTAACCCATATCAATTTTAATTATTCAATGTTATAATTGAAAGTATTTCAACATCTTTATCTTCATTTTTGAAAATGTGGAGCGGAGTGAGATTTCAGGAGATTGATTTCTTATGGGACAAATAAAAAATGTAAAAAGTATTGTTATATTTTGTATTAATACAATTACAATTGTTGTAAGGGCTTTAGACACAGGGAAACAATCTAAAAGAAAATTATTATTTGAAAGGTTCTTTACATTTCTTAGAAGATGGTTAAATCATAGTTGTTATAGGTGTAGAGAATGATGGGCTACTTGTGGGGATAACTTGAAGGAGGAGGTTTAATTGCATAATGCAGGGTCAAATGTGGCATCAGGTAAAAAAGAAGATATACGATGACTTGGAAAACCCTGTTGGCCTTTCTTTGGATAGTGATGTAAGAGGTTCAGAGTAAAGAGGGAGTTTTAAAAAAGGGACAACATAACATCCTGCACCAACATGATCAGCGACAGACGCTCCTAATGGGTGTGGTGAGATGTAGACATATATCCAGAAATTACATAAAGTTTGCCCAGAGGAGTTATATATTGCTTTGCTCATGTGGACAGAGGAATGCCTTCTCCCTTTACTTTTTTTATTGTTAATTTGTTTGGTGTCAAAACAGTCTTGAATAATGACGAATACCACAACAGAGTACTAAGCCTAAAGCAATGTCTTAAGATGTGTTAAAGCTGAACCTGTGTGCAATTTTAAAACTTGCTCATGTTTATCATACTTTGGCAGCAGCCATGCATAAACGGGGCAGGATGCTATCCCATCTTAAATTGGCAATGTAAATCAATCTAACCAACAGTAATTAACCCACCATGTTAGCATACTAAACAATGCATCGGAATATGTTTACAGGCTACAGTAATGGATGCTAACAAGCTAGCATGCTTAAGGTTTCATGCTATATATCAGCACGTTAACTGTAATAGCTCTTAATCCACATAGTTGTTAGCATGCTCACAAAGCAAAGCATAGATTGATCAAAGTCGGACCAGTACTTAAATGACCAATGTAAATGAACACCATAACCTTTTCTCTGGCACCACCCTCAGGTCAAAATGTACATATTTAGCCTGTGGTGGAGACACCAGAGGAACAAGTGTGCCTTTAAATCTATCTAACTTCTTTCTTTTCTTCTGTACGGTGTAAAATAATTCTTAAATGTATTGTGAGGTTAACATAAATTGACTTGTTTTCACAAAGACTTTGACAATTTTAAATCACTAAACATAGTAATATGAATTGTTCTGCTGTGTGTATATAATGTGCTGTATATGCATGTCTTTCTGGTTGTGCGTGTCAGAGAGAAGCAGACAGCATTTTGAGAGACAGGCCCACAATCTGTTTACGAGGCAAAATCTCTCTCTCTCTCTAGTTAATTGAAAGGTGGGGCTTAATGAGGCAATGTGGTAATCAGGTCCAGATTATGAGATTACTCTGCATCAGATTAGTGAGGTCTCTGTATTTGTCTGGCTGGAATGTGGAGTGAAATGACAGAAAGTGCACAAAGAAACTAAAACAAGTTTGTGCATGTTTCCTTTACACTGATGTGCCATGTCTGAAACGGTTAGGCTGCCTGCTAAAGGTTATTATAGTATCATACATCTTTTAGTAATTTGCCCTTTTTTTTTGTATTTATAAAATGTTAATTGTTGAGTCTATAAAACATGTCGCACCTATAAAAAGGTAAGGTGGCTGTTTTCTACAATTTATGAATTCAGAATTAGGATCTAAAAAAAACAAGTGACATGTAATCTTTTCGAAATAAAGATTGAAATGAATAATGTAAAGAAATAGCAAAACAAACATGACGTGAATGTAAGATTTAAAATGTCCACAAAGCCACTAAGATTATTAAAAAGAGTAGAGTAGAGAGGATAGGAGGATGTGTGCCAAATGACAGCATTGTCTACGACACCCTCCCTGAGCATGCTCCAGCTGTGGCCAACAGATGATTGGTTAAGGGGCATGGAGCTAAGTGACGTGGTGAAAAGCTGAAAAGGCCAGTCTGTAGGCAGCTATTAATGACAAAACCTACAATAAGCTGAATTCTTACCACTGCATGTCTGCAAATGTGTAGGAAGAGGTCTACATCCAGGCATGGGGGCTAAGTAGAGTATTTTGAGTGTGTGTGTGTATCAGTGTATGTGTGCACGTTTGCATGTGTGTATTTAGATGGAGAATCCCCCACAGACTGTAGAGGATTATATAATGTCCTCTCTACGTGCATGTTGAAGGGTACAACATGGTGGTTGGCTGTTGCAGCTAAACAGATCAGTGGAAATCCTGCTTAGTCTGTACTCTAACACACAAGTTCAAGTTTGTTTATTATCCTCAAAAGGGTACATTTCAGTTCCCCATCTGCTACAATAAAAGACATAATAAACTTACCCCTAATTTACAAAAGATGTTCCAAATTAATTAGTTTTTTCTCAGGTATTCTGGTGTTAGTGTCCATAAAGCTTGTGTATTTTATCAATTGAATGATATATATAAAATTTAAAATAAAAACTAAACAATCAACTAAAACAGAGATGCATTTTTCGTACTAACACAATTGGTTAAGAATGAAGTTGACGTTGCCCCGTTATGCAGTATACATTTATTACTATTTTCAGATATTTTAGAACCAAACCTATTAAATAAATAATCGGTCAAATATTCTGTAGAGGAATTGTTAATGGAAAAAAAATAAAAATATGCAGCGCTATTGGCTTAAGCATATTACACACATTTGCACCTGCATAAAAGGCAAATTAGAAAATAACAACAATAATTTGGAAAATACCGCTTAAATGCTGTTTAAGACCTAGGCTTTGTGTCATTGTTGCCATATTCGCCCCTTCTGGAATATTTTTGATGAACAAATGTGTGTACCCGGGTGAGGGTCTTGGGTATTTACGGTTTCGGGCAGCAGGGGAAGGAGGAGGAGGTAGTGGGAGCCCGCAGCGTCACGTGGTCCGACCTCATCTCCTGTAAACATCGCATTCACCTCCGGCTGCAGCAGCGAAGGAAGCTCACTCGGCTCCGGGGGAGGCGACCTCTTACTTCGTTTGTAGTAAATATAAAGTCGAAGGAACATGGCTCGGATTTATGAATGAGAGCATGAATATCGCTACATGTGTCGAGGAAATATACGTAGCGCCTGGTTTGTTGACCAGAAAGTAACGACTGCCCTAATCTGCACACGCAAACACGCCAAGGTCCGAAGAAAAACAAGTAACGTAGCGTAAATTCTGCGAAGTGAGTGGAGCTTCTTTTTTTAAGGTATTTTCGCGTCTTTAGTGCTAGTTCTCCGCACAGAAATGGACCGAGGTGGCTGCCAGATGAGTGGTGGCGGGGGTGGTGGTGGTGACAGCAGCGGGCCCGACAACAGCGGGATGATCACCCTGGAGGACCTGGAGTCTCTCTCGGAAGACCAACTGTCAGACTCGGGGAACGGCAGCCTGGAAGAGAGAGAAACCATGCAGGAGGAGGAAGAGTCCGGCCGACTGCTGCATTACTGGCAGGACGTCGCGAGGGGACACCAGGTGGAAGTAGCACCAGGTAAAATAATTTTAAAAAAATACGACGAATGAAAAAATAGACAGACAACTCCTTGTAGGCTAGGCTACTACGTACATAATAAAAGGCTGTAGTCCTTTATGTTTTAAGCGAGCCGTCATTTTGGATATAAACTTAGGTAAGGTGCAGAGATGAGTCAAAACAACACATGTTTGACAGTTAATACACTTTGTCTACACTTCCTCACGGCTCCACGTGCATTGACCTAGTTTTCAGTCAGGCTCAGATAAACCAGTTCCACGCAGGACTTTTAATTCCCTGTCCTTCAGTCAAACGTGTTTGTTGACCAACCGTATAGTTACTAAAAACGATAATGCATTAAATGCAAGGCCAGCTTTTGGAGAACACAGACACATTCCTAAGACTTTTGGCGGGTTGAGACATCTCGTAAGTTAAATGATCAAATTGTTGTAAACAAGTTGTATTTCCTCAGGTGAAATCATGGGACCAATTGGATTCCTGTTGGGTCCCGGGAAGAAGAAAACATATTATTTATTTTAGTCCGGTTTTTTTACTCTTTCCATATTTTAAGAATAAATCTGTTGGGTCTATTGGGAATTGTGGAGATCCACTTGGTCAAAACAATTGTGAAAGCCCTCTGTCAAACGTAACACTGTTGCACAGAAAGCAAGGGATCACAAGTACAGTCAGGCGGTCGTAATAAACATGACATGTAAATAATTCAATTGACATGTAAATAAGAAATTTGCTCAGATCCAAGCGTATTGTGTTGTTTTCAGGAATATAATGGCAAATACTGGTTTCCTCTTGTGTTTTTAAATATTCTATTACACCAGTACAATCTCATAGACATGACATTATGATAAGAGTGCTGAATCAGTCATCATTTTGATAATAACATATTAATACTATCATATTTTGTGTCTACTAGTTAGAAGCGCAATTCAAAACAATAGGTAAAATGGCTTACACTTACCTGGTCTTTGCGAGGCATACAAAGTGCCTGTTTGTGTATTTACACTGTGCAATGATTAATTTTTTGCTACAAAATTTAGCGTATGACGGTATATTCACAGGCAACATGGGGATGTGTTACTTTATGTCAAAGGTTACCAATCTGAACGCTTACTTAATTATCTAAATGCTACAGGAAAACAAAAAAGGTTACAAAGTTATATTCTTTTAATTTATTTTCTCACTATGGTGGATCTGTTCAGGGGGAAACGGATCTAGCCAGGGGGAAATGGCTGCAATGTGGGTCCATATATTCATGATCTATTTGCAAGTTATCTGGAGTGTTGTTAGGGCGCTCAAGGTTGAACTGCTCTGCAAGCCCTGAACTGAAAAGACGGCCTCCGACCAATTCACTGATATAAATGTGCAGAGGAGCTGCCCGTCAGGCTGCCCATCCCTGTTGCAGCACAAAAAGTGCAAACATGTTCGGTCAAAATTGGTCTTAACATCCTAATTTGACATTTGCAGGTGTCAAATTGGTTTTGAAGTGTTAACAAACATTAACTGGAAAAAACTGAATCACTTTTAAGGATTCAAACAGAAATCAAATGGAAAAATAAATGATTTCGGTCACTGATACTTCAATTGGCTTATTTTCAAAGTCTATTTCAATTCCACTGTTGTTTTTCTGGAAGATTGTTGACCAATACGAACCAAAAAAAGGACCTGAATTATATATTATTATTTCAATCAATGATTGATTTGTCAACTTGTAGCTTTTCGATTGTGATTTTAGTGTTTAGCTAGAGACAACAACATCAGGTGTTTTCGAATCACAGCTATTACATATCTTGGACCCAATGAGATTAGCTTAACTTCAAGAGTTTAATATATAAATAAAATGCTTATTTAAAAAAAAAAACACCATTTAATTAAATCAACATCAAAGCCTTCTTCAATATTTAAAGGTCCCATGACATGGCCATTTCTACTGATCATAATTCCATTGTTGAGGTCTACTAGAATAGATTTACATTGTTCAATGTTCCAAAATCACATTGGTTTCTCATACAGCATCTCTTATAGTATGTGTATTCACTCTCTGTCCTACACGCCTTGTTGGAGCTCCTGCCCCCCCTCCCTATGAGCCCACGGTTACAGCGGAACATCAGTGATTATGTGTTACAATGGCGTTAGCAACCAGAAAATGACACCAGTAATGACAAACAGATGAGAATGCTGCGTCGGGACTTCTTGAAAGTGAAGGGGAAAATATAAAGCTGATATAGTAATGTCTATTGATTTGAGTATGTCACATGAGACAAGCTTACTGTAACAAAAGGAAAATTTGTTTAACGTATAATGTGTAAATCATAAATTTCTTAGTAAAGGTAACCAAGTCTCTAATGTGTCAAGTTCCTTCACAAGCGCACCACTTCATGGTTCCTTTGTTTCAACTCAGCTCGAACGACATCATTTACCACTTTGCCTCGTCGACTAAACATTGAAATAGGAATGCAATTTTCAACGGTAATTAATTACGTCGACTTAACAAAAGAATGTCCACATGACAATTTATACACACCACAAGTGAAAGGCCAAGTTCCTACAAACCTAATAATTCCATCCTTGTACCCCGTCACACAGAAAGCAAACATGACTTTTTGGGACAACCTTACTTACGACTAAACCTGACCGGACACGTGTTTGTGACTTCCTGTGTTGTCGTGTCTTTTTACACGTGTGAACAAAGAAATCCAAGAGACCAGTTTTGTGTGAATGTTTCACGCTTTTTACAGTGTTGTCTAATAACACCCCTTATTAGTCCCACATTAATTCATCCCAAAAAACACTAAAAACGTATTTTTGTGACGGCCAAATTAAAAAAACAAATAACCCACGCGAATTCCACGGTGAACCAAAAATGAAAAGTAAACCACAAGTGATTTTTGGTAACGTTCAAGGGGTAGACCTGAGAACGACTCGATTATGTAAGGTAAAACAATGTCGCGATGTTTCGTGACGCCTAGTTGAGTCAACTAACAAAGACGTGAAGGAGACTGGATAAAAGACGTTAACTTCGTAACACCTATAGGAAAACGACCTGTTTCTGCTATAAAAATAAACGTTTCCAAACTGACCTTTTTTTCCCGCTAACCTTTAAGGATATCAAGAACATTTCCCGAAAACGATGTAATGATTATGCACTAAAATTCTCAAGGTTTTACATTTTACCATGTCTACCCAGAACGATATCTATAGTAAATTGTTACTTTACGTTATAAAAAAAAAAGTTGTGTTTGTTTTTTTGTATCCACCAACTATACAAACTAATCAGTAACCAATTCGGTCAGTTTACTTGAGTTTTGTCGGACCCTTTTTAGTCTTTGAGGGTTAAGGGGACCGAGGAGTTAAATTTCCTTTTGTACTCAAATGAAACACCGGAAAGACCTCAACTTTGTCACAGCATAGGCCTTAAATCGTCGGGTTGTTTTGTCAACCTAAAAGCATTGGTGCAGGAGCTAATCAACCCACAAGACCTCCTATCTCCCTCCCTTTTGTAACGGACGAGACACCCAATACCTGAGATTGTCCAGTTGATCAATCTACTGTTTATGGATGTTTCTTCACCATACCCAGACGTAAATCTCCCTTTGGTGACCCGCACCCTGACGAGAGATTAATTAAGTTAAAACAACAAAATACAGGATAGAAATAAGAAATCCGTTAGACGCACTCGAGCCTGTGTGTGTGGGCTGTGTGTGGTGTGGTGGTGTGTGGTTGTGGTGTGTGTTGTGTGTGTGTGGTGTGTGTGGTGGGTGTTGTTGTGTGTGTTGTGTGTGTGGGAATAGAAAAAGAGTCGGCGCCATGAAGGCGCCTCGAAGCGTGTTTGTGTGCGGGACCGACACTCACACGCACACACACGAGTCCCGACCAAAGCGCCCACAGAGCCGTCCTGGGGTGCGTCGGTGGGCCTTTGCCCTGTGGTCATTTAAGGTCGAAGGTTTTTTGACAAGGCCGGAAGTATCCCCGTCGTCCGCTTCTGGGGCGTCGCAGGGTGGTTGCTGCCGTGGGTCACGGGCCTGCGTCGTAAGAAGTTAGACAAACAGTATTGACCACGAAAACCTACT